GGGGGAGGGGGGGTTAATAATCATTTTCCATATTATTTTTCTATGTGGCCATAATAAATGACCTGGGGTCTACATGGTTTAATTTTCTTGACGTGTCATCCTACGTGTAGGAGATTGTATTACACACACTGGTAGCCTCCTGCCATAAGCGTTTATTATATACGATTTGAAAGGGTGTAAGTATTCAATTGGCAAATTATTAAGTTTGGGGACCGGCATGACAAAGTGACACAAATATACGTGCCATAAATTTTAGAACATCTTTTAAGGGTATCCACCAAATAAAGTTTTGGCTGCCTTTTGTAATAGTGGATTAGTGATTTGATTTTTGATCCAACGGCTTATTTGGCGGTTGCATCATGTAGACGTTAGTTTGTCAGTATAATTAATCAAACAGAAAATAAAAAAGATACTCAAGAAAATAGGAAGTCAAGTACCATAATACTGAATCCATAGGGTATAACATAGTTAGTTGTTTGATTTCACGTAACTTAGTCAAAGTCAACCTCAACCTCCTCCCCCCCTCCCCCCAAATTTCCCCGACCAACGCCAACCTTCCAAAAGGTCCCCTAAACGTGTTAACATAATTCTTTTTATCAAAATATCTAGTCCCAAGAATTCAATTTTTGTTAAACCAAGAATTAGGTTTACCAAGGAATTTCTATAAAAATAAAAAGATACAAGTTTTAGATGATTAAGAAGAAAATGTAAAAGGATGTTCATCTTGCTTTTAGAGTTAAATTATGGTGTTTGCAAGTTTGAATTCAGTTGTCTTGCACTCCTAATAGTTATAATCTTATTGATTTTTTCTTTTCTCCTGTTAATCATTTGAAAAAGAGAAGGAAGAAAGTAAGAAAGACGCATCCATTTAAAAGGTAAGAGAAACAAAAAAGAATCTTAAAATGAAGATTTTTCAAGTATTTTTGTCAACTAACCACGTACAATATTCTTGTACAATTGTTCTTGACTGCATTCCAATCAAAATCATATACTAGTAGGAGTAGTATTTTTGTCAACAGCTCTAGTGTAGTACTAAATTCAGAATCATTGAATGCTACTCACAAACTACCAAATGTCCTACCACACTAGCCAACTAGTCAGCAGGCAGGCTGTTTGTCTATGACTAAAATTCTCTTCAAGCTAACCGGCCATTCCCAGACAGAAGCACCACTCTTGTTGCAGTTTTTACCAAATGTCTCCTCATTTTTTTGTCTCTACATTCTTCAAATTATCTAATAAAGTCGCTCCTCAATATCAGAAGATTATTGACAAGGTAGTCATACCTCTTCATTGGAGAAACAAGCTCCAAAATTGGTGTCTTGGTCGGTCAGTAAAAACGCAGCGCATTTCTTCAAATTATATAATGGAAAACATTATAATAAAAAGAAAAGGAAGGAACTTAACACCAACTATTTTTCTTTATTGTCACAAAATATTGAAAAGCTAAAACAGGCCCAGACGACTTGGGAAAGCCGAAGGGGATTTGCAGCCGTACCCTATATTTGTGCCACCTTTTAACCTGTACCCTATTTTATAAAATTATTGATTTGGTAGCCATCTCACAAAAAATCCGTAATAAGATGACAATTACACCCCTGACAAAAGATATAAAACGATCTCCTCCTCTCCTCTCCTCTCAGTAACTTTATAAAAAAATCAGAAACTTGTCTAGATTCATCTTCAGAATCACACTTGCATGAAGTTGTTTCACCTTGAAGCTAAAACTTCATGCTAATATAGCATGAAGTTGTTTCATGTTGAAGCTAAAACTTCATGCTAATATAGCATGAAGTTGTTTCACATTGAAGCTAAAACTTCATGCTAATGCATGCTGAAGTTATTTATCCTGCAGTCTACAGTTTTGTCATGAATTTATCTGAAACTTCAGTCTAAACATGCTGAAGTTANTCATTTGCTAAAACTTCAGATTAAACATGCTTAAGTTTTTGTCTTGCAGTATGTAATTTTCTAAAGAATTTTTGCTAATGCATGTTAAAGTTATTTAGTTCATTTGCTAAAATTTCATACTAAAACATGCTGAAGTTTTGTAACGCAGTCTACAGTTTTGTCCTGAGTTTTATCCGAAACTTCAGTCTAAACAAGCTGAAGTTTTTTAGTTTATTTGCTAAAATTTCAGCCTAAACATACTTAAGTTTTTGTCCTGCAGTTTGTCAATAGTCTTTTATTAAAGAAGGGCAAAATCATCTTTATAAAATACTTTTAACAAAAAAATTGGGTACGGATGCAAACGAAAAAACGAAACGGGTATAAGTTAAAAAGGGGCGACCGAATAGGGCACCCCATGCAATTTTTACGAAAGCCGCCGATTGCAAAAAGAAGTACTCCCTCCGTTTCAAATTAGATGAGGTACTTTCCTTTTTAGTCCGTTTTAAAATAAATGACACATTTTTAAATTTGGAAATAATTCAACTTTAAACTGTTCATTTTACCCATTTTATCCTTAATGAAAAGCATTTATAACCACACAAATGTCGTGGCCCCACAAAGCTTTTACCCTTTAAGCAGACCATAAGTTTCAAAAGTTTTTTTTTTTTTTAAACTCCGTGTCTAGTTAAATTACTTTATCTAAATTGAAATAGAGGGATTAGTATAATAAGTAAGTAAGAAAGAGAATATGGCAAATTTTAAAGAACAGTTGACAAAGTCGTAAGGGTCAGACGTGCTCTTAATTTCCTCCCGCGTTTTGTGGCGCAACTTTTTGCCATTTTGCCCCCTTTTCCTCCTCTTCTCAATTTAATATTTTTGTGTTCGTCATGATAATCCTACTTGTCCGTAAATAAATTTAAAAAAGAAGAAGAATATTGACTTTTGTACAGGAAAAAAGAGGGTACAGACTGAAAAAATTCGAGTATGTTAATCTCAAATGTTGAAGCGTTTGGTATTTTGAAAAATATTGCTACTACTAGTATCAACTTAAGACATCCATATTATTACAAAACCTCAAGAATATCATCACTAACCTTATCACCATATATTATAATTTACAAAATTCAAAAATTTAGAATATAATAATTAAATTTTTCGAGAGGTTTTTTTCTTCTTCTATATGGTTGGCCCTTAAATATCTCAATCAATGACATATAGCCTTTAATTTTATGTAGAAATTATATGATACTAGTTGAAAGACTACACAAGAAAATATTAAAGGACTCGCTCAAAAAAAGGAAAAAAAAATGTCCTGAACATTCTTCTTTGTTATACAAATCATGATGTTATAATTATTTTTGTAGATATTCGTTTCACCAGTAGACGGTATAATTAACTTTCTTACATAGAAGAAACAATATAAGAAGTGTCTTCACGGGGACAAATGAGAATAATCATCTCCAATTCAACTTGGGACTCGCATTTCTTCTTTCAATCTCGATCCTACAAATCGGTAGTATAGCTTTTCCTTGTAATTCGGATGATCTATCGAATTTGGTGGATCCATTACCAAGTCCTAGAAGAAAAAGTTATACGAAAGTGACACAAAGATCAGCTATAGAGTAGTCAATAAGTCAGTAGCCAACACAATAGAAGAGGACGGCACGAATAGCAAAAAACAAGAAGAACCAATTTTTTGAATCTGCTGCCGAAAATTCCCAAATCCCATTTTTGAAGGAGAAAACGAAAAGGGTATCCATTGATATTGATTTTCAAGTATAACTCAAATCTCCAGATCAAGAATCGTACAGTGCATATCAACTGTTTGATTTATTGCCTCTGAGAGAAATATGAGCAATAAAGGACCTGTGAAGTTAGATGATGAGCAGTTGGCTGAACTGCGAGAAATATTTCGGTCATTCGACAGAAACGATGATGGGAGTCTGACCCAACTCGAGCTTGGCGCGCTATTGAGGTCACTTGGTTTAAAGCCAAGTGCTGATCAGCTCGACACATTGATCCAAAAGGCCGATAAAAATGACAATGGCCTTATTGAATTCTCAGAGTTTGTTTCACTTGTTGCACCGGAGCTTCTTCCTGCAAAGTCCCCTTACACGGAGGAGCAGTTGAAACAGCTTTTTAAGATGTTTGATAGGGATGGAAATGGGTATATAACGGCCGCTGAGTTGGCTCATTCCATGGCTAAGCTTGGACATGCTTTGACCGCAGAAGAGCTTACTGGTATGATCAGAGAAGCTGATACGGATGGGGATGGCAGGATCAGTTTTCAGGAATTCACTCAGGCGATTACTTCGGCTGCTTTTGATAACTCATGGGCTTGATATGCGAAGCTCCTTAGGTATAAATATTGTGTTTTGTTTTGTTTTGTTTGTTAGTGTTCTTTTCCTTGTATGTTCTTTTAGTTAATTTACTTCCAGACTTTCTCTGCAAATGTTAAGGTTCTTTGTATATATCATTTCAAAGTATGTCTACAGTATAATTAATGGAATATATACTGAAACATCCTCCTTTGTCCGAGTTCTTCTCCCATTCGTTTGACCTATACTATTAAGTTTTGCTGGATTTTTGGATTGAAGCATAGTTGATTGAGTAAATGACAAATGTTACTGGATGAATTTGGGCTTTGAATGTATATGAAAAAGTGAATAAGTTAGATCTCAGATATTGTTTCTTTTACCTTTTAATTTTGTCAACAGCAAAGGGAAAATCTTTTTGAAAAAACTCTTTGCTTAGCATGAATTAGTGAGAACAACGTGCCAACAAAAGCATCAACACTATGTCTATGCGTCATTTTAGTAATTTGGCACAGTAATAGTTAAACTTATAATTAACTGCTGAGCAAACTCAGCAGTCAACAGACATTAGGCAGCCAATTGTTATGGTTTTCAGAGGGAGTTTACTTAACCAATAAATTAGGTTGCTCTTGCTTTTTCACTAAGCTCCCTTGGTTCAGCCCATAAATAGAGTATTCATATAACTAGAAAGGGATTGAGACGTTGTTATGATCAGATGGACATTTTCCCATACCAGAAAGAAATATGTATAGAAAGACGGTGAGCATGGGAATAAGCCTTCTTTGTGCTTAACCTAGTCAAGAACCAGGAAATTTATACTCTCTTTGTTATTACTAATGTGCAATAAACCAACTTATGTTCTATATATATTCTGATCAATGAATTTCAATTATCTACTTGTAGCAGGCCCCTTAGCAAAGTAGAAATGGGTGTGTTGACCATGAAGAAGAAGAGGATTTTCAGATGCAGAGTTGGTTCCTTTGTGCGTCCATCTTAATGCACTGCTTCTATCCGTGTTGATGCAACATCCTAGTTTAGCATCCGATAGAATTTTTCTTTGCATGAGAGAGGCTTTCTCTCATTATCATGCGTTTTCCTCTATTGCTTTCTTAGACTGAATAATGTTTGAGTGATAAGTTTCCTCTTCTTCCCTTAAGAGTAGATTACTGGATTTGAAGATCTGTCATCTACTTCACAGGTAAAAGTAGAATGCTATTGTGGATCTTGATTTTCGGAACTTGTTAATGTTTCTCATTAGGAAAGAACGTGGAACCTAGCTAATATGTGGATTGTTATGCTTATGGTTTGTTAGTTCTGCTGCAATACTGTTAGCATTTTATTGTGACCATCATGCATTAAAATCAGGATTCATTTGGCTCTGGGTGTAATATTAAGACTACAATCATCAATGAGAATTACTGGCTGGCACCATTGGCTTTTAAAAATCGTAAAACAAACTCATTCCGTCTGTGTAATGTATATTGTTTGATCAATGATATAATTCCTCTAGCAATTAGCAATATGTTGCATGTTCTTCAGTGGCAGGGGCCTGCTCCATTCATATGATCATACATACAGCTTAACGATAGCTATATCAGGGATTCTCAAAGAAGTTTCATTCAAAGTTAGAGCTTATTGTCCACATTCAATAACAACTCAAAGGCCGCCTATATATGAGTTTTAAATCATAGTCAATACAAGAATAAAAAGAAATTTCTGAGACCTTTTGATACGAGTTGGTCGAAATCAGAAATTGAAAGAAGAAAGCCAAGCATCAGGAGTCGGGACTAGCATGGTCTATCATAGCCAGGAGCTCAAATGAACATTTATTTTCTCTTTTGACCTTTTTACTCTTCACTCCTTTTATTTTCTTTTGGCATTACACACAGGTTCTCTTATCTATATTTAGTTAGCACTTATCAGAAAACTTATTGAAAGGAAAGCTCTAGGAAGTCGGCTTAAGAAAAAGAATGTAGGCAGTAGTTGCAATTGGCTGCATGCACCAAGGACAGTACGACAGTTCCTCCGAAGACTATTTTATTTCTCTAAGCATATGCCATATGGTACCAATTTAATTTACAGTTTTTTTCTTTTCTTTTTATCATATTATTGTTCATTTGGGAATTACATATCTTAAAAATTTGTCTATTGGTTATCTTGTCCAAAGTTACCAAGCGCTAATGTTAGCACTAATACGGGACTTGCTTATCTTTTTATCATCTCATGAGTTTAAGATTGGGTTGTACATATGCCATGCCAAGATGCAATCATTTCAAAGTCGCACATACACTTAACTAGAGAGAGAGAAGGGTTTTTCTTTAGTTGAATAGAATCATACCTCTTTAAAATGAATACATCACTTAACAAATTCAAATTTAGACAGGCTTGGTAGGTTTCAAAATGTATACCTACACCTAGTGCTTCCCTTAAATCGACGAACATGTATAGTCCACTCGCCCAACTTCATGACAAACTACGGCCCACTTGACATTCGATTCTCCCCTATTCTTTGCTGAATTCTTTCATATAATATAGAGAGCTTCCCATTTGAGATCTTAGACAGGACGATATAACAAAAGTTAAAAGTCTCACATAATCTATATCTATCTATATTATATTAAGTGAGAAATCTTAAATTAAAAAGTTAAATTACCTAAATAACCTCCTAGATAAAATTAATTAATTGAATAACAAGTTCGGACTCGAGAATAGTTACTTATGCTTAGATAGTTTCTAATTGTTCCAAATTTAATTTTACTTAATTTGTTTCCAATCGTTGCTAGCTTATCAAATACTATGAATTAGAGAGAAAAACAATGACATCTTAACTTTTATTGTAATTATTTTTGTGTCGTACTTCTTTGTTTTTCGGCGTAGTTTTTAGTTTTAGATATCAAAGTCTTTTACATTGACGTAGTATTATGTTTAAATTGTATATCTTTAGAGATTAATGGTTTGTGTTATTTCAACTAATGTTAGTGTAAGAATATTAATTTTCAGCTATTACGTAATATTTTGCAGCTTTTACTTATATATTGCAGGTATTTTGCGCAGTGTAATAGAATCGAATTTGGACACACATGCCGAAAGTATAAACAAATTAATTCAAGTCAATACACAAGAAACACACAAAAAAAAAAATCTAAGAAACACGCAACATAAGTTTCACATATTGACTATATGAGACCAAATATTTCTCCTCCTTCGTACAGTAAAAAGACACAAAACGAAGCAAATTTTCATGATTCAATCTATTAAGTTTTCTCATGTGCATGAAAGTCTTCCTTGTCCATTTTCTCCATTTAATTAAGAAAAGTATAGTGATAAGAAAATGAATTAGCTAATAGTAGCAATCTTTTGTATCATAAGGTGCATATAACACTTTTCTGGTAATCAGTATATTCACAAATTTTATGTTAGTTATTACGCACGCCTATTGTTACACGTGGGAGGCACGTACATGGAGACTAGTTATATTAAAAGCACGATACCCTTTAGCAAAATATAGTTCGTCTTTTTTACCCTTTAAAATTTGATTTCACACTAGACATAATAGTCATTTATTTATTTTCCTAATATTTAGGACTTTAACATTAATTAAAATTTTAATTATTAATATTTTCTTATTTGAACTAAATACGAATTGAGTCCTACTATTTAGGACTTAAAACCCTTAAAATTTTACTATTCCAAATAAGATATGTCGTAATCAAATTTCAGACAAAAACCAATATGCAACAATTTCAAACTGTATACTATTTGTAAGTTTTTCTCCTTTTAATGTTCTTCTCTTAATTTATGTCTGCACCTTTCCACATATTAATTCTCCTTCTACTATCTCCTTCCGCACAAAAATATGAACAAAGCCAAAAACTATTTACCAGGGAAAAATAATGAACCTTTCAACAAACTGGAGGTATATAAAATAAAAAAATTGTTAAAGTTTTTATTCATGTCATCACTTTTATGTTGAATATATTTATCGAGACACGGAGAATTTATATGGAACCTAATTTCTTCTTTATTGAGTTAGTTAAATAAGATCAACTATTACCATTTTCAAGAACTTACACTTTTGACTTTTAAATAATTTTTATGTAACTCAAATATAATTTTTAATATAATAGCTATATGATCTTTTAAAGTTTTGTATTGATGGAGATTGGGTTGCGTAACTAAAGACTTGTAGTAGATAAAATAACCCAGAACGCAAATTCCACTGGTCTTAAAATGGGATATGCCATTTATCAACGCGAGGAACACCAAACACCTTTATCTATAGAGTGCTAATACAACAAAGAAAAAGTATTGTTTTCCTGTTCTTTGGGATGGAAGATAATCTCAGGTCTTGATACACTTCCACAACAGAAATCAAATTCAAAAGAGAGCAACTCAACAATCAAGGTTGGTTGAAGTGCAAGTACTGGGCAGAATCCGAAAAGAATTTACAAGGTTGACTGGAAAGCCCTAGGCAGCCAAAAGAAAACAGAAGCCGCAAAAACTATAATTTAAAACCATAACGCTTTTAGTTATTGCCAGAACTAATTCTCGAATGCTTCAGCTCCACAAGTGAAAAGGCCAAAGCAGCAACAGAGTAGTTAATGGATTAGCTTCGTTGAATCCACTGCAATATATCCGGTCGGATCACTCCCTCAAAACCATTTTTCACATGATTCATGGCTTTGAAACTAGCCGGCAAGACAGTGTTGAACTGCCTGTACTGGATGCTTGTTCCAGCAGGGCTTCTTGGTTTGATCATCATAGAAATGGTTGGATAGGCTTTTTGCCATGTGTTCCTCGCTGAGGTAAACATATGCCTGCTGCTGGATCCCTTATCCTGGCCAGCACCATATTTCTGGAATCCCTCCGGCTTTGGCGAGTGAGATGATTTCCTAAGCTGCTTACTTGCGCTCGTAATTGCATTGCTATCTGAGGGATTTCCTCGAATATTAGCTGATGGCTTCATTTTGTCAAGCCATCGAAGGATCCAATTCCCAAGATTCCTACCAGCTTCAATATCTCTTTCCTGTATCTTGCGATGAATGGTCAGTGCCACGTCAAAGGCAGCTCGTGTTCGCCTGAAAAAAAAGAAGAAACAATTTATAAAAATAATACAACCAACAACGCAGCCAAAATGGTAGAAAAGATCATGAGCAAGCATCCCACAGCAGGGAATAACCATTTTTGGGTAATTTGGACAAGTTGTAGTCAACACGAAACATCTTAAATTTGTTTTTTTAAAAGGTGAGAATGTGGAACTATTGTGTGCTAAAAGAGGATTGTAATAACCTTAGACACTAACAATTCCCTAGGGAAGGGTCTGAGCTCACTAGTTGCCTCTCATTACAGAAATTGAGGAATTATGTGCTAAAACATCACAAGGATAAATCAAAAAACCTCTGCACGGGACTCATATTTATGAAGAACACGAACAGTATACACTCTTCTATATCAAATTCCTATCACATTTGGTCTGCAATTCATGCCATGAATATTCTTTTCCTTGTACAAACATGCACAGACATAACATATTCTTCAAGGCTCTGTATTGCTGATTTCTGTCATAGGGAGTTCATTCTCAGCTCATCCTGCTGGATTCAAAGCTAAATCTGCCTCATCTTCCTCCTCATGTCTACAATCAACTAATTGAGAAAAATTCAACTACAACAATCTTTGTTTTCACACCCAGGGCTGCACAAAGTCAGTCTGGTGTCCAAAATTCCGATTTTCAAAACTGAAACTGACCAATAATACATCATTTTGGTTTGGTTTAGGCTCCTTTATGCTTCGTGCAAATCAGTTGAATACATTGGTGGATTTGATTCCATAAAACATTAACAAAGCTGGGATTCAGAAGGGAATGATCGATTAAATTAAGAGAAACCTAGAGAAAAAGGATGGTGTGCATCCAGCATGATGGAGGTATTGGGGTAATGAGGCATCATTGCCGAACCTACATGGGGATTGAGTCGAGACTTATGAGCGAGATGAAGGCTGCTGACTTAAACAAGATCTTGTTGGGCAAAGCATAAATTGCACTTAGCAATTGATAGAAGAGTGCTGTTCAAAGAGAATCTCTGGCAAAGAAGAGAGTTGAAAAAACGGAACAAGAATTATGAGAAAGAGAAAAGAAGAATAGAAGGAAATTGTGGAAAAGAAAACACTGAAGGCAGAAACAAAAGGGAAAAAGCAAAAGAACAAGATATAAAAGAGTCATGGAAGACACTCTAACAATGCTATTTAGCAACTAACAATCTTTAGTCTCATTAATGCATGAACTAGAGAGAGTTCTGCTTTCCATATTAACCAGACACTAGTTTGTACAGTATACTCATGTCAACACGGCATGATACGGGCAGGGGGTGAAAATGTGGTTCATTTGGTCATTTTAATTGAGATACTACCTACCAACTCGTGACAGTCAACTAGTAGAAGATACTCATGTCAACACGGCATGATACGGGCAGGGGGTGAAGACATTTTAGAAGAAGATACTACCTACCACATTACGTAATAGATGAAAATGTGGAATATGGAGAAATTCTTTCTTCTACTTTTAACCTTTAGATTACACTCACGCCCCTAAATTGTAAAAGTACTCCACTCTTTAGCATCTATATGTTAACTTTTAAGTTTATGCTTCTTAGCTGTATTCGTCTACATTTATGCAACGCCTTATTAATATCCTTGCATCTTGAACAAAAAACTTTGGATAATCCAACACCTCAAGAAGCATGCATGCCTAACATGATTACAAAAATCAAAGGTAATCTACACCCAGTTTTGCATATTTAAGTGTAACATGCTCAACTACCACATACGTCTATTATCAGCTATAAGAATATTTAACAAACAACTTTTGCAAGAGAACAGACAAGCAGATATTCCAGTCCCATTGCTTATAGAAAATTTATCTTCACAAAATTCAAGGAACGAAAGAAAGACGATGCACACGTAACGATCTTATTCGAACAAGATTGTCAAATGTCAGGTAGACAGACTGAAAAATGGAACACTAGTCCAACATCACCACTTACTGGAAGAGTGATCATATTAAGCACAAAGAGATACTTTCTTCAAGAATTGGGGATAATGTCTAGTATTTTATAAACATCGAAAATCCATATGAACAATATTCAAACAAATAAGAAAAGCATCAAAATACAGAAGTTGGAATAGCAGATGTTTGCCATTCTATTTATGAGAAGATGACAATCCTTGTTGCTGAGAATGGATAAGAGCAGAAAGATACATGGGACGGGTATCATGTCACAAAGGTAAACTACTGATAATTGAAGAACCAGCACCGCAGAGCTAAGACGAAATAAAAAGTTGATGAAGACAAAACTATCAAAAGAAGCAGCAAGATCATATTCCATCTTAACCACCTAAGAGAAGTGATCCTCCGAGGACGCAACACTTTGATTTGCAGTACGACTAATCACGAGGTTTTACAGAACCTATGCCAGAAATGAAATTGCATATGCATTCGGAATGGACCACAAAACTGGATACTAGACTTTGTTGTTTAAAACATCATCCAAAACACCATTCCGTTTCTATTATTTAATCCATCAAATAGGAATTAGTGTTGCTACACAGAAAGAAGAGAAAAGTAGTATTTTTGTTATCTCATTCGCTGATACATTTCTCTCTGAATTACTTTTATCATAATAACTCCAATTAGTGTTACCCTAACTATCATTGTAATAGAATGACAAATCATTTATTCAGGTAAAGCTGATAACCACGAAAAGGGAATCATTATTACAAATGACAATAATATTAAGATCTAATTGAAATCAAAAAGTACCTTTGAGCGAAAGCACGAAGCCTGGGGTTATTGGGAGTAATAAGCTTACGCTGAATCCTCAAGAAGAGCTTGTAAGTTCGTTTCAGACCCAAGAAATACGCCGTTGCCAATGTGATCTCCCATAGCACCATTCTCTCTCTTTCTCTACAACCTTCTTCAGGAAAGAATATCCAAATGAGAAAAGAGCATTAGTATTTTATGTTTGCTTCAATATGTGTATTATGACTATATAGTGAACCGTTTTCGTTTTCAACAAGACAAAAAAAGTCGTGGAATTCTGGAGAGCCGCCAGCAATTTCAACCTTCCGCATTTTCTTCCTTCTCTGCCTCTCTCTGATATAATTTGGGCCAGTTTTGGGCCACGATATGTTTTATAGCAAATGAGATTGACCCAGCCTATTATTTCGTTCTAGTTCCACAGCGAATGCTTTTGTTTTCTTTTGAAGGTCCAATTGAAACAAACTGTATCTACAATTTAAACTTTCAACAACACAATTTGATATTGCAACTTCTCAACCAAAATTCATCCGATTAGTTTTGGATTCTAAGTTACATAGACTGAGGGTCGTTTGGTTGGTGAACAAATTATGCCGGAATTATAATGACGAAATTATAGTATGAGAATTAAATAATAACAGAATTATTTAGTGGATATACTTTTATCGGTAGATACTTGATTCATTAGATTAAAAATAGAATACCGGATATAATATAAAATATATATACTAGGAGTTTTCTTGGTGTGAGGCTTTCAAATATATTAGAAGATGGAGATGATTTGCAGAGATACAGACTTGTCGAAAACGATGAAATAGAGAAGAAGGGTAAAGAGAAAACAAAACTGAAGTCTCAGACATAAAGTGGTTGTTTTGGACATTACGATGATAGAGTATATCTTTTAGATTTGGTTAATCTCCACCCTTCATCATGGTTATGATGGATTAAATCGTGAGCGTCCATTTGGCAACACACAGGAAGGTTCTAGCAGGACACCTGGGACTCCTTATCTAGTATCTAGCTGTATATATTCTTTGTATTTATCTTTGTAGGTAGTTAATTTATTATAGAATAGCAAATAGGATTCAAGCAAATGTACAAATAGGAATATTCTTTTTCTAGGTCCTAGTTGTATATATACCTATACAAAGCATTAAGAAAAATACTGATTAATTTCTCTGGATGGTATCGGAAGCTTAGGGGACGATTCTTCCCTTTTTCATCCAATCTTCTTTCAAGCTTTCTTCATTTCTTTTCACAGTCTTTCTTAGGCACTCTTTATCTCTACAATGGGTGACAAATCCATTTCTACTTCCAGCACTTCACAGGTTGCTGATGTTGTTGTCTCAGATGGAGCAAAATCTTCCATTGACTCTCCATACCCTTTTTTCCTCTACCCTTCAGACTCACCGGGGATGCTCCTGGTGAACTCTGTATTTGATGGTAAAGGCTATGGGGGATGAAAAAGAGGAATGCTTATCGCTTTGTCAGCCAAGAACAAAGTGGGGTTTATTGATGGATTCATTGCTCAACCCAAGATCTCTTGTGATTCTTTCAAAGCTTGGAATCGGTGCAATGATATGAAAATATCATGGTTGTTGAACTCCTTCTCCAAGGAGATAGCTGAGAGTATCCTCTATACTAAGACTGCTAGGGATATCTGGACTGAGCTTGAAGAGAGGTTTGGACAGAGTAATGGGCCACAGCTCTATCACTTGCAGAAGGAAATCAATGAGTTATCTCAAGGCAATTTGGATATCGTTGGTTACTACATAAAGCTCAAAAGGTTTTGGGATGAGTTAGATAGCCTTGATGTTGTTCAACATTGTACCTGTGATTGTATTTGTGGAGGGAAAGTAAATACCCACAAGTCTCATCAGGATGTAAGGCTCATTCAGTTCCTTATGGGACTGAATGAAGCCTACTCTGGTCCTAGGAGCAGCCTGCTCATGCTCTCTCCCTTACCTTAAGTTAACCGTGCTTATTCTCTTCTCATTAGAGATGAGAAGTAGAGGGAGGTTTAGATCTCTCAACACCCTAGAGACGATGCTTTCTTAGCTGCAAAACAACAGTATAGTGGTCATAGGTTTGCTTCTGATAAGAAAGTATATTCAGATGCTAAGAGGAACAATCAAATCTGTTCATACTGCAAGAAACAAAATCACACTATGGAAAACTGCTATAGGCTTATTGGTTTTCCAGCAGATTTCAAGTTTACCAAGAACAAAAGGTTCCCTGCCAGACCCAAGAACAATGTAGTCTTGACCACAGATGACAATGCAGGACAACCCATGAATGCAGGAGACAAACCTATGACCCAGGATCAGTTCCACAACCTCTATCAGCTTCTACAACATGTCAAAGTTGGCACTCAGAATGAGCAGGTTACTGAAGACATTGTTGCTGCCAATTGTGTTGGTATTCCTATATCTGTCCTAACTCCTACTTCTCTCCTTTTATCTCTTAACTCTCTTTCCTGGATGTTAGACTCTGGAGCCTCAGAGCATATGACCTCAGATCTGAGTCTCTTATTTAATGTTAAGACTCTTCCTAAACCTCTTTTTGTAAAATTACCTAATTCTCTTAAAGTTTTAGTAAAACAAGCAGGTTGTGTCACTATCATACCAGGCTTTACTCTTCAGCATGTCTTATTTGTCCCTAGTTTCAAATTCAATTTGTTATCTGTTCACAAGTTGTGCAAATAATTTAATTCAATCCTGTCTTTTACTTCTCTTGGTGCTATATTGCATGCCCTTTCAATGAAGAGGCCAGTGGTGCTTGGTAAAGTAAGGCAAGGAATCTATCTTTTGCACACAATCAGACCACTCCAAGTCAAGCCTAGAGCTGCAGCCACTCATAGTGATAGGATTTCTAGTTTTTCTGATTCCAAGAAGATTGTTAGAAATCCGTTTTCAAATTCTATTTTGTTCTTAGGAGTTGTCACTACTGATGTAAGACTTTGGCACAATAGATTAGGACACATGCCTATTTCTAATATGAAAAATATTTTCTTCATATCTTAGTCCAATTTACCTTCTGATATTCTTACTTGTGATGTTGTGCTAAAGCTAGGCAAGCTAAATTACCATTTCCTTCCAGCTCTATATCTTCTAAGCACATCTTTGATATTATTCATGTGGATACTTGGGGTCCTTACAAAACACAAACTCATGATGGCTTCAGATATTTTCTCACCATAGTAGATGATTATAGTAGGGGGACTTGGACTTTTCTTCTCAGTACCAAGTCTAATGCTTTCACTATACTTAAACAATTCATTATCATGATAGAGAGACAGTTTCAATGCAAAATAAAAGTCATCAGAATAGACAATATATTTGAATTGGGTAACAGTCAACACACATCTCAGTTTCTTTCTTCCCAAGGTATTATACACCAAACAAGTTGTGTTTACACTCCATAATAAAATGGAGTTGTGGAGAGGAAACATAGGCATTTGCTCGAAACACGTAGAGCCTTTTTATATCAATCTAATTTACCAATTCAATTTTGGGGGGAATGTCTGTTAACTGTAACCTACTTGATAAATAGATTTCCCACCAAACTTCTGAAAATGAAGACCCCTTATGAATTACTTTATGAAAAACCTCCTTCTTATGACACTCTAAGGAGTTTTGGTTGTCTTTGTTATGATTCAACCTTGCCTATACACAGATCAAAATTGGAGCCTAGATCAGTCAAATCTATGTTTTTGAGGTATCCCTTTGGGAAGAAGGGATACAAACTACTAAACCTACAAACCAGAAAGATCTTCATCTCTAGGGATGTGGTGTTTCATGAGAAAGTTTTCCCTTTTACTCTCTGTTCTTATCCTACTCATATTTTTCCTCCTCAATCTTCAATTCATGTGTCTGATCCTCTTCTGTCCTCTAATCAACATACTCCTATTACACCTCATCAGACTACTAACCCAGTTCTGATTAGAAGATCTTTTTCTACCCCTTCCAAGTCTCAGTCACCTCTCCCATCATTGTTACACTCTTCTTCACCTCAACCTCCCTCAGGGACTTTATCACATTCTGTTTCACTTATTCAACTTAATCTTCCTATTATCTCTTTTGAAAGTACACTAAGAAGATCCACTAGAGAATATCATTTTCTCAACTATCTCTCAGACTAGGTTTGTAACACTATTTTTTTAACTGAACTCACTCCTTATTGCTTTGCTTCTTCTGTCTCTCCTACTATTCTACCCTTTTCTGCTCTATCTCACTCTAATCAGTCTCTTCTAAATTCCATTTCTTATGTATTTGAACCTACCATATTTTCCCAAGCTTCCTTACACCCAGGCTGGAAGGAAGCAATGTCTGAAGAATTTACTACTTTAGAATCTAACAAGACGTGGGAAGTTGTGGAATTTCCTAAGGATAAGAAGGCCTTGCCATGTAAATGGGTTTACAAGGTGAAGTATAAACAAAATGGTTCGGTTGAAAGGTTCAAAGCTCGACTTGTTATCAGAGGTGATACACAAAGGGAGGGTATTGATTTTACAGAGACTTTTTTCCTTGTTGTTAAAATAACTACTGTTAGGTGTCTTTTAGCCATTGCAGTCAAGAAAAATTGGCCAATTTCACAGCTGGATGTGAATAATGCCTTCCTCCGTGGAGATTTACAGGAGGAGGTTTATATGAAATTTCCAGCAGAGATGACACTTCCTAATCCTAATCATGCGTGCAGACTAAGGAAGTCTTTATATGGTTTAAGGCAGGCCTCAAGGCAGTGATACGCTAAGCTTACAACTGCCTTAAACTTCAAGGGTTATTCTCACTCTCTCAATGACTACTCACTATTTTTCAAAACTTCTGAGGGAAAACTTTCCATTCTTGTAGTCTATGTAGATGACATATTAATTACAGGAAATGATCCAGGGGAACTAGATTCACTTAGAGGTTTTCTTGATTCTCGAGTTCAAGATTAAAGATTTGGGGCATGCTCATTAGTTTTTAGGCACGGAAATTATCAGAGAGCCACATGGCATTATTCTAAGTCAACGGAAGTTTACCTTGGATTTGCTATCCGAATTTGGTTGTATGGATTTGAAACCTGCTCCATCTCCTCTTGATCCTTGCTGCAAACTCCGGATGGATGATGGTGTATTGTTACCAGATCCCACAATTTACATAAAACTTCTCGGCAAGTTAAACTTCCTCACACACACACACACTGATCTTTCTTTTACGGTGCAACACTCAAGCCAATACATGCAATCTCCTCGCAAACCACACTTTGATGCTGCCCTTCGATATCTCAGATATTTACTCACAGACCCAAGTATGGGTATTTTCCTTTCTCCCAAAGCCCTCTTTCAAGCTCCTAGCTTTTTGTGATTCAGACTAGGGAACTGCCCTGAATCACGTAAATCAATTAGTGGGTACTTTATCACTTTGGGTGGCTCTCCGGTCTCCTGGAAATCAAAAAACCAATCGTTGGTGGCGCTTTCATCGGCTGAAGCAGAGTACAGGTCGATGCGTCGGGTAGTGGCATAAATTACTTGGCTCGTTCGTCTTCTTGAAGATTTATCTGTTTCACCTTCACTTCCAGTTCCTCTTAACTCCGATAGTCAGGTGGCAATCCATATCGCTAAGAACCCGGTTTTTCATGAACGTACAAAGCACGTGGATCTTGATTGTCACTTTGTACGTCAACAGTACCTCGCCGGACTCATCTCCTTATCCTTCGTACCTTCAATTGCTCAGATTGCAGATGTATTCACAAAAACCCTTTCAGGCCCTAAACATCAATTGATTTTGGGTAAGTTGAGGGTAGTTCCACCACCCTCCAACTTGAGGGGGGGAGGGTGTTGGTGTGGGGCTTTCAAATATATTAGAATATGGAGATGATTTGCAGAGATACAAACTTGTTAAAAACAATGAAATAGAGAAGAAGAGTAAAGAGAAAACAAAACTGAAGTCTCAGACATAAAGTGGTTATTTCAGACATTACGATGATAGAGTATATCTTTAAAATTTGGTTAATCTCCACCCTTCATCATGGTTATGATGGATTAAATCGTGAGCGTCCATTTGGCAACACACAGGAAGGTTCTAGTAGGACACCTAGGACTCCTTATCTAGTATCTAGCTGTATATATTCTTTGTATTTATCTTTGTAGGTAGTTAGTTTATTATAGAATAGCAAATAGGATTCAAGCAAATGTACAAATAGGAATATTCTTTTTCTAGGTCCTAGCTGTATATATACCTATACAAAGCATTAAGAAAAATACATCAGAAAGAATTTCTCTGGAAATCATGTCTTGAATTTATATTTGCAACATTTTTATATTGTATATCACCCAACACTATAACCCATATTTTCGGATCTTACCTTACACTAAGCATATTTTGAAACAAAATTTTTACGTCTGAACAGATCTTACCGATGCTTCTTCTTCTTCTCCCCACTCCATTGACCACCTCTTTTAGGTCTTTTGTAAAGTTAAGATTCTAATATCCAAATGAAAACTTAGGTTGGGAAAGTTAGAAGCTTTTCAAATCTGAAATTTATGAAAGAATCGTGCTCAAGGACAAAATTTTGACTTGAGCTGGAAGCTTCAATCTAGAGATTTGTTGGGGGTGGGGGGTTGTTGAAATTAGCTAATAATATCCCAGGAATATTTAATTTGGATATTTTGTTCACTTGAGACTAGTTTGCGACTGTTTGAGAGCGAATCGGATAGGTGAAATTGGAAGAAGACGAAATTGGTTCTTAATTTTTGTTAAACCTCTTCAAGATTAAAGTTTGATATGGTTTAGCTGAGATTTGTATCTTATTCTATTTTTTTGAGATTTTTTGTATGAATTTGAGGAAGATGTATATTGGTGAAGAAAATCGAATGAGTGTTGACTAATATTAGTGAATTTGTTTGGGTGAAGCTCGTCTTCGATTTTAAGATCCATTTGGTGATATTTTAAACCAATTTTAAATGAAGTATTTGGATTTTCGTAAGCTGAAATTTGATAGAGAGAATGCTTGTAGGCTAGAAACTCGTGTTCTAACCGCATTTTGCACTCTAGTTACTGTACTTTGTTCGTGTTTGAGCTTAATCGATGATGATTTGCACTTATTACATGTTTTATGCCTTGTAGGTGATGATTTCAAATTATGAAGAAATTTTGGAGCTTTGAAGTCTGAGTAAAAGCCCAATGAATTAAACTGGGATCGAGTTCAGGGGTCGAGGACCAAGTTCGGATATCAAAAAGTGAGAAACAAATCCCACTATAAGAAAATTGCATGCAGCGCGGCAGTGCAACTGAAGATTTCTGACAAAAACAATGCCCTCCGAACTTGTCCATTAGCGCGCCGCATGGTACGGTGCACGGCGTGCCGCGCCTGTGCAATTCCGCTGATAAATTTTTTCCACTTCAGCTTGAAAAGGGTAGGTTCGTCCGGACTTACTTTTATATGATATAAATACACCAAAAATACGATTTTGAGAGGACGTTAGACCTACGAAAGATTGGTAAAGCATTGGAGACTCTAAGGCACTAGAATTCATTATTCTTCCATCATCTTAATACCCGCGTTTGGATTGAATTCATATTTTCTTAATTAATTTTATCTGTGATGATTTTTCCTACTGTTATGGAGTAGTTTTCCCTTAGGTTTTTGATAGACATGGTGTATTGATGATTGATTGGGGATTCGATTAATGATAATTATTTGAATTTATTGATTGAGTTTTGAACTATATTGTGAGGTTGTTCATTATTTTTCTTAATTGAAAGAGAAGTTTTATATTGAATTTATTTACATCTCATGCTCTAATTTAAATTCGTGATTCATCTAGGTAATCAAAAGATCAACAATAACAATAACAAAAATATATCCATTGTAATCCCACAAGTTGGTTCTAGGGAGGGTAGTGTGTACGCAGACCTTACCCCTACCCCGTAGATGTAGAGAGTCTGTTTCCGAAGATCCTCGGCTCAAGAACAAAATAAAAAGGAGCAGTAGCAATAAGCAGTATCAACATCAATATATAAACAATAACGATATAGTAAAATAACTGAAGCGAAAGAAATAACAGGTAGGAATATAACTCCACGAAAAGGAAAAAAAGAAAAAAAAGACTACAAGACTAATACTATTGCCACTAGGATGACAAAGGAATACACCTAACTACCCCCAACTACCCTAATCCTCGACCTCCACACCCTCCTATCTAGGGCCACGTCCTCAGTAAGCTGAAGTTTTGTCATGTCCTACCTAATCACCTCACCCCAATACTTCTTAGGTCTACCTCTACCTTTCCTCATGTCCACCACAGCCAATCTCTCAACTCCTCACGGGGGCATCAACGCCTCTCCTCTTCACATACTCGTACCATCTTAACCTCACTTCACACATCTTTTCTTCCACGAGGGCCACTCCCACCTTATCCCAAATAACTTCATTCCTAATCTTATCTCTCCTGGAATGCCCACACATCTACTTTAGCATACTCATCTCTGCTACTTTCATCTTTTGGATATGAGAGTTCTTAACTGGCCAACACTCTACCCCATATAACCTAGTCGGTCTAACCACCACTTTGTAAAACTTACCTTTAAGTATATGTGGCATATTCTTATCATATAAAACACCAAATACGAATCTCAATTTTATCTACCCTGCTCCAATATGATATGTGACATCCTCGCCAATCTCCCTATCCCCTTGGATTACTGATCCTAGGTATTTGAAACTTTCTTTCTCGGGGAGAACTTGGTTGTCAAGTGACACTACCACGTCTGTATCACGATTTCCGTCACCAAACTTGGACTCCAAGTACTCTATTTTGGTCCTTCCAGACTTGAAACCTTTTGACTCCAGAGTCTGCCTCCAAACCTCTAGCCTCGCATTAACATCACCCCGCATCTCATCAATCAGGACAATATTGTATGCAAATAACATACACCAAGGCACTTCCCCTTGAATGTGATGCATAAGTACGGCCATCATCAAAGCAAATAAAAATGGGCTAAGAGTCAATCTCTGGTGCAATCCCATCAGAATTGGGAACTTTCTGAGTCCCCTCCCACAGTACTCATGCGGGTCTCAGCTCCCTCATACATGTCCTTAATTACCCTAGTATAAGCAATAGGAACACCGCTAGGCTCCAAACATCTCAAAGGACTTCCCTCGGGACTTTGTCATACACTTTCTCTAGGTCAATAAACACAATATGTAAATCTTTCTTCCTCTCCCTATATTGTTCCACCAATCTCCTAATGAGGTGAATAGATTTCGTAGTCGATCGCCCGGCATGAATCCAAATTGGTTCTCGAAAATAAACACACTCTTCTTAGCCCTCATTTCTACCACCTTCTCCCATACTTTCATAGTGTGACTCAGCAACTTGCTACCCCTATAGTTATTGCAATTATAGATAACTCCCTTGTTTCTGTACAATGGAATCATTGTACTCCACGTCCACTCCTCAGGCATTTTTTTCGTCCTAAAAATGATATTAAACAACCTGGTAAGCCACTCCAAGCCTTCCCTACCCATATTCTTCCAAAATTCTATCGGGATGCCATTTAGCCTGGTGGTTCTTGCCCTTCTCATCTTACGCATAGCCCCCTCAACCTCCTCAACCTTAAAGTGTCTACAATACCCAAAATTGTGACGACTCTCAAAATGCTCCAATTCACCTAGCACAATGTTCTTATCTCCCTCTTAATTCAAGAGTTTGTGGAAGTAGGTCTGCCATCTTCGTCTAATATTTTCCTCCTCCACCAATACCTTACCTTCTCCGTCTTTTATGCACTTCATTTGGTCCAAATCACGTGCCTTCCTCTCTCTCACTTTGGCTAACTTGTATAGCTTCTTATCCCCCGCCTTTAACCCAAGTTCATCAAATAAATGTCCAAAAGTTGCAGTCTTAGCCGTCGTAACAGCAAGCTTCACCTCTTTCCTAGACTTCTTATACCATTCCCTATTCTTGCTCTTCTACACCTCGTATATGCTCTTTACTTGCTTCAAATATGTCGCCTTCTTGGCCTCAACTTTTTCTTGGACCTCTTCATTTCACCACCAGTCCCCTTTGTGGCCATCCAAATACCCATTCATAGCCCGTAACACTTCTCTAGCAGCTTCCCTAATGCAACACGCCATCGTAGTCCACATACTACTCGCTTTTTCACTACTCCTCCAACCCCCCATAGCCAATAACTTCTTCCTCAGCTCCTTGGCTTTGTCCTTAGTCAAGGCTCCCCACTTGGTCTTAGGTTGGCCACACCTAGCCCTCTTCCTCCTCTTTCTCTTAATCTCTAAGTCCATAACCAAAAGTCTATGCTAGGTCATGAGGTTCTCACTCGGGATAACCTTGCAATTAATGCATAGACCATCATCACTCTTCGTGAGGAGTAGGTAATCAATTTGTGTCTTGGCCACCGAACTCTGAAAGTTGACCAAATGCTCCTCCTTATTCTGGAAGCTTGAGTTTGCTATCACCAACTCAAAAGCTGTAGCAAAATCCAACAATGAAGTTCCACCAATGTTTCTATCTCCAAAACTGAAGCCCACATGCACATCGTCATAACCCCCAGCGGCTGCCCCAATGTGGCCGTTGAAATCTCCTTCGATGAATAGCTTCTCTGTGTGGGGAATACCTCACACAACCTCATCCAAATCCTCCCAAAAGTGCCTTTTGACCTCCTCGTCCAAGCCTGTTTGGGGTGTGTATGCACTAATAACATTGACAGTCAGCCCTCCAGTGACTAGCTTGATAGACATCATCTTGTCGTTCACCCTCCTCACTTCTACCACAAGCTCCTTAAGCTCCCTATCAATCAAAATACCTACTCCGTTCTTGCCCGCTACTCCCGAGTACCACAACTTATACCCGTCTACATCCCGAGCCTTAAATCCCACCCATCTAGTCTCCTAGACACACGCTATACTAATCTTCTTCTTCTGAGGAATCTTCGCTAGCTTCTCTTGAATTATTAATTGAACTAGAAAATAGGAAAATATTCATGAGAAGTTACCCTTTAGACAAAAACTATAATTATATTTATAGCAGTTGTTCAAAGTACTTCAATTGGATTATTTCCGGAATTTAAAGTTTAATCGAAAGAGGAACCTTAACTTCAAGTGTAATCTAATTATCTGGTGAATTCGTGAGAATCAACAGTATTTTAGAAGTGAACTAATTCAAGAATTGGATTCCGAGTTAATTATCTTGCACGTGTCTAGTCAATGGCCCTTACTTCTCCCACTGATATTTTTGTGTTGCTCAATTCTTATTTTTCGTGATCAATTGATAATTGCTTTAATTTTAATAGTTAATTGTAGTTGATAAACATTCCAATCAAAGTATTATTCATCTTGGATAGCAGTTAATTAGAAATTATTCGAACATTATTTAAATCTAATCCATGAGGGGACGATAGTTAAATTATACTATTTTTGACCAGCGAGCATTAATTTCGTGCTGTATTTTGCACTCGTCAGAGAAGTCAATTTTTGTATTATTTTGTACAATATTACATAGTTTTATATAATATTATGAAACTGTATATAAACACCTTTTATACACTAGTTATGCTTTTATACAATGTTGATATATTATTTATAATAAGTATGTAATATTGTATAAACTGTAAAGATATATATACATTGTTCCAAAATATATATTAGCTGTGGAGATGAAAATTGAAAAAATATGGATACATAAAATGCAAATGCGTTGGACTGTATTTTTGTGCAAATCTCGGCTAAACGAATCACTGATGACGAAGTGCCCTATACCCGCACTAAGGGGTAACCTGAGATAAGGTATGAAAGCAGTATGATTATTTTCACTTGAGTCGACTTAAGTCTTTCGACATGGTTCTCTCAAGCGCCCTAGTATACTTTACTTGTTCACCTGTGTCGGTTTGGGGTACGGTCAGTTCACCGCCAGTCTTAGTAAAATAGGGGTGGGTTTAGCTTGAACATAGGCTCAAACAGAATTTGGAGGGTCCTAGCTACGCCATGCGTTCAATACAAAATCTGGAAAGCTGCATGGATGACAAAAAGAGGACGCTTTCCTGTGTTGCACTAAAAAAAGGACCTAAGAAACGAGCGTCTTCTCTTAGGTTTCTTCCTCCCGTGCCCGTCGCCGCTTCTGCAATTGTGGAATTCCGTTCAAATAGAAAGCTTCTCCGAACCCTCGATTCGATTGTTTTTCAAGAATGTTGAGCCGGAAGGCAAGCACGCGGGTTGTACCTGTCAGCCTTGAGCTGTCGAGACTTTTTTTCTTAGACAAAATGAATGGAAAAGGGGTGCTTGTGTTTTATACTATATAAATTGGGATAACTTTTATTTTTAGTTTTAACCTTGAATTTTTAAAAGAACTTTGGAAGAAGAGATTTGGAGAATGACATCTTTGTCATTTACGATATTTTATCCTAGTATTAGTAATTTCGAGATTGTTATCCTTCGTTGTGAGTGTTAGAAATATATTACCACGATTGTGATATAGAAAATTTTGGGATTATTCATACCAAAATAAAAAATTCAATTAAACACAGGATAAAATAATTTTGCATATTATCCTGGAATGTTATCTTTTATCCTACAAAACAAAAGACCCCTAATAGTGCAAATAATTTTTCATTATCTGTGTAATTTAACATATAATAGTAATTGAGTCTCTTTTTAGCTTTTTGCCGGGTTATCAATTAATATTTATCATAAAATATTTCTCAACATATACGATGGTGCATATATTTGCAATGAATGTTCATTCATTCATACACTAAAATCTTCAATTTTCCAATTCTAAAAAGTACCTAACCGCAAATAACATCAAAAACAATATTGACAATTAATAGTACAAAAGTAAACATGAAAATTAGAAAATGAAACCAATGGCTATTCTTTTATATGGTTTCTCTTTGTAAAGTGTTGCTAATTTTCATTATTGATTGAGCTTATGGGCTGTTTGAATACGAATGTCAGACTGAAAAATAAACAATTCAGCAAATAAGGCAAATACTAGTGACCAATTCATAATCCAAAAGATGACGACGTCAATTATGTTTATTTTAAAAGTGAAGAAAGCAAAGTTTACTTGCTGATTTCAATTTTGAAAATAGCCTTAGCTTCCACCTTAAGCAAGAAAAGGGTCATTTTCGTTTAAAGCCCAGTCAATTACTTAACACTATAAGAGCAATTTTATAAACAAAATGATTGAAAGGAACTCGAAGCTTTCTAGAAAGTAATTCTTCTTATTACGCCCTATTATATAAGCTAGTAAAGTATGCAACAAATTCTTTATAGATAATGTACTAGAGCTCCTTTTTTTTTTTTTTTTTTTTTTATAGAAAAAAACTCAAAACGCATGGCTAAAAAAAAGGGGCATTGGTATAAAGAAGTATGTTCTTGATATAGGTCTCTGGGTACTTCCTAATTCCAATAATGCGCATTTGCTTGTGATTGGTCAAAGATTTAGTTTTAGAAATGAAGATCTAAAATTTCGTTTATCAGAACATAGAACAATATATACCTAACTAACAGCATGCTTTTCGTTGAATATTAAGTTAAGAAACTTTTTTTTTTTGTAAACAATAATGTTCATAAGTAGAGTCGTGAATATTGTAGAAAATTACATGGCGTGTCCCCTGACGAGACTGATCGTAGTTGAATGTCCTTGTAATTGACAGTATTTAATAAATGAACTCCGTCTTTTTGCTCCTTCAGCTCCTTCTTCTCCATCTCTTCTTCTTCTCCTCCTCCTCCTTCTTCTTCATCATCATCATCAGGAACATCATAATTCTTCAATTTTAGATGCTTAAAATCCTTGTTTGAGGATCGAAATTCGAAGTTAATAATTAATTACTGTTAAAATTGATTCAGTTTAATTCTTTATGCTTAAACTTTTAGTTTAAACACTAATTTGATGATTTACTAAAAAACAAAAAATTTCATAGTTGGTCCTTAGAAAGTATTGAAGAAGACAAAGTGGATCTTCTTGATTTGGTGTTATTTGATTAAATTGGTGATTGGAGATAGTTTGTGTTAGTATTTGGAGGCTTTGCTTCAAATTTGAGATCATCTGGAGCATAATTGGTATGGTTTGATCAAAATTAGAATTACGAATTCAAAGAATATTTTGTTGAATAACAGATAAAAATTATACCAATCAGGTAGACTTTGATGAATAATTTAACGGATATATCGATTGCAGATAACACAAAATTATGTCAATATGATAGTTTGTTGAACGATTGAACATGAACAAAATTACACCAATTGAGTAGAGTTTGTGTACAATTAATACTATAGGTAGAGTAAATATAACATAAACTCTATCTATCCGGTAAAAATATCCCTGAAGAACTAGGGGAATCGAGAAGTTATTTTTTAAATACATTCAGAATTGAGGACAATATTTAAAGTCAGCTCGTTATAAGGCCATTCATGTCAATTACCTGAATATTGACTTGACTCATGGGTTTTGCCTAACTCAATTTGCTAGTTGAGTAGTGTTGGATTTGAATTTTTTTAGCCAACTTAAGACCGATACTTTTTAGCCTTTTTTTTTTTTGGGGGGGGGTTAAATGTCTTGCTTAAGTTAACTCGTTTGTTCAAGGGGTTGGACTGGTTGGCTCGTGGGCAAATCCGTTTCAAAATATATTTAATCCCCTTTTCAAAAAAAAAAGTTTTGTAAATGAAAGTTTTATATGAACGATACAAATTGGTCAAATACGTGTGCGACCCCTTAAACTTGGCTCCAGTTTTCATTTTGACACTTCAATTAAGGCCGGTACCTATTGAACATTCTAACTTATTTGAAAGTGTACCTATTAAACACCTCACTTACTGCCAGTCAAAAAAATAAGTGTGTGTTAGTCACATGCGAATGAGGTGGCAAAGTGACGAATGAGACAAAGACACGTCGCATTTGGGTCCAAATAATCTTAAGAAAAAAAGAAATTTTATTTTCACATAAAATTCCCTCCCCCACCTAAGTAGTTCCATCGTCTCTCCGCCCTCCTCTTCCCGGTTCCTCATCCTTCATCATTCATTGTCAGGCAATCCTCACTTATGTACAGATAAAAACTACTCAATCACTTTCGACCGTAGCTACCATCGACACTGTCTTCACCAAAAATGATGCTGATTTGATACTTGGACGAGGCAGAAAGATAAGAGGACTCACTCAAATATACTGATGTTTTCCCCAAATCTATGGTTCTCTTTCCCTTTGAGAACGTAAATGGATATCCCAAACTTTTCTCAAATTTCTTGGAGTTTCCTCTTTTTTTTTCTTTTTTCTTTTCCTTTATGGGTTTTAATTTTTTTACGATTTAAGTTTTTTTGTTAACAAAAATTTAAAATCTTATTTTTTGATCGAAATTTAAGAAAAATTCAAGTTCCAATGATTTTTATTGAGGGGAATGATGTGAATTGTTTAAATCGTTGTGTGTACCTTTGATTCCTCTGTTTATGTTTGACGAAATTGAAGAATTTGAATGAGAGGTTTTTGTTCTGTGTTAATGGTGATTTTCTCTGTGTATGAGATTTTTTTGGTGAAGGTGAGGTGAGACGATTGTCGAGTTTTGGTGAAGCTGGTGGTGCAGTTGTATGTGTTTTGTATTATTGAAGATAGTTTGTGATTTTTGTAAGGAAAGACAGAGAAATTGAAGCTGATGGTTATGGCGTTTTGGGTTCACGCTACCGGTAGTTCACAGTGTTATGTCGTGGAGTTGGTGAGGTCATTTCGGCTTAAAAATGTGTTTTCAAATAGTTAAAAAAAGACAAAAATATGATTTTGGTATGAGTTCACTCGCTTTGAGAAAGTTAGAAACACTTATTTTTGCCATGACATACTTTGTATACTTTGTGTTTAATAGGTATACTTTTAAATTAGTTGAAGTATTCAATAGATACCGACCTTAGTTAAAGTGTCAAAATAGAAACTGAAACCAAATTTAAAGGACATGTATTTGGCCATACAAATTTAGTACTTTGCATAATGAAAAATATACACAAATGAATATGTGTCGGTCTATTCCAAAATAAATATGGGTCGGATTTTTATAAACATAAGGGATTAAAGTGTCTTTGTAACAAGGAGGTTTTTTTGCACCTGAGTCGTAAGAGTTACGGGTGTTTAGTACTCTCAATCTTTTAAATTAGATCAGCTACTTTCCTTTTTATTCTGTTCCAAAATAAATTATATATTTTTAAATTTGAAAATAATTCAACTTTAAACTTTCTATTTTATCTATTTTATCCTTAATGAGAAACTTTTATAACCACACAAATATCATGGCCCCACAAAACTTTTATTCTTTAAGCTTTTAAAACCCCAAATTTTAAAAGTTTTTTTTTTTTTAAATTACGTGCGGAATCTAACTAGCTAATCTAAATTGAAACGGAGGCAGTACAATTTATTTGATATATTTGGCACAAGGTGTATCCTCAAGTTTAATGGTATTTATTTGCTAATAAATCCCCAGACTAAATACAACCTCAGAGCAGCTAGCAAAGCAGCCACCAAACACTCCTCTAAGCTTACTCTTTCTCAATCGCCGTTTCTATCTCAACATGCATAGACAATCTCTGGGCTCACCGGGATCCAAGTTACTCCACCCACATGGAGTCATCATCGTCGGCGGCAGGGACGACTCCTCCGCCGTCGTCACGGCGGCGGCGGAGGACTCTCAGAAGATAATGTTGATGAAGGACCAAGCCGCCTCTCCTTCACTCTTAGAAGATGAACAAGTACGCAAGTCAATCAAGTCTCTTAATAAGTCATTGTCCAGAGCTGAGAAGTATATTCACCTCATTCCTCTTCTCACTTTCCTCTGCTTCCTCATCCTCTATCTCTCCTCGCATAATCCTTCTGATAAAGGTACATTATACTTCTGTGATTCAGAGAAAAACGAACTCGTGAAACTTCTTTTTAATCTATTTTGCTGACTTTTGTGCTTCTTTTCAGATTTAGCTCAATTTCATGGAATTGAAGGCTTCGCCAAGCCTATAGGTATATATAATGCAGATTCTGTTTCTCCGTTTTGGAAATTGGTTTTTCAATTTATGTTTCAGATTCATTTCCATTATACTCAAGTATTTATCACTTTCACTCAGAAATTCGATTTCGATGTGTTTTCACAGTATTTTGTTTGCTCTAGTGAGTGCTTATTTGTTATGTGTATGCAGAATCAGCAAATATTGATGACGAGTTGCAGAGAGTGTTAGAAGGCGATGTTTTAGCGATCCGAAGCATAAGGAACTTGCAAGAGATCATTGATAGACAGGATCCAAAACATCGGCTGCACCGGAAACTCGTCGATTTTTAAGCCGCTGTTTTGTGGTTCTCTCTCTCCTTTATTATTCTCATCATATATCACTCGATAGAGCGCTCTATTCATGGCGAATTCTCCGTCGGCGGAGCTCTCCCACGTGCGTAACTCGGTCCTCTGCCAATTTTACCCTTTTTTACTTGGAAAGTATTTACCACGCGTTTGTTTTGGTTAATTGGTCATTTGGCTGTTTACCGAACAAACTTAACCGCGTGTGCACTACTACTCTTGTAAATATTTTACTTTATTTGATGTACCAAAAACAGAATATTCACTGCCAGGCCAAGTTTTTGGGGGCACGTAAATGGAAATTACTGAGCTGGAGCTGAAAACTAAAAAGGAAAATGTAAAAAATCGTATGGTGTTGTACGAAAAAGTCTTTAGGTGAAACCGACAGTTTTTCCCAGTAATTAGGCATTTATCGGGCGTAAGATTTAGTCAGTCTTTAGGAATTTAAATCAGTTCTTGGTTGTCTGGTTTGAGGAATAAGAACAATTATCGGTATCAAATTCTGCAATATTACTTTACTGATGTAGCGTGTACACTAGAAACACAATGTTGCACTATCGCTATTGCTAACATTATGCTAGAATTTATGTGTGTGTTTTTTTTTAATTACAAAGTATAAGTTGGATAACAATTCATGTATGAACAACGTTTAGAACCTAATTCAGCCAATCTCAGTTTTTTTTAAACCTTTCTCTTCTTTCTCAAAGACTTACATAATTAAAATAAAAATACAAAAAGATGTACAGTAGTTATGGATAGGGAAGAAAGGTAAAGTGTGGCAGAGCAGATATGAATGAGGGAAGTGATGATGTGAATGGGAAACAGCTGGAAAGTTGTAACCGTTACAAGTGCCTCGTGTTTCGTTTAGAATTGCCAGCTGGGAAAGACTTACTCAGATTCTAAATGCCCCCATTGGCTCCTCCTCCCTCATTAAATTCTCGATTCTCTCTCTTTATTTCTCACCCCCAGGTTCACCTTTCCGATGTCATATTCATGCTTTAATACACTTCTCTTTTCCCATTATAAATGCTCTTTTTTTCTTTTTTCTACAGTAGAATATAAATACCTTTAGGGTAGTTTGGTAGCCGGTTAGAGATGAGTTATCCATGTATTAAAATTAAGATAACTTTATACATTATTTTGTTAAAAAATGGGGGAAAAATAATATCCACGTAGAAGCTAGCATAAGTTATACAATATTTGGTTATTTTTTCCTCTTTTTCATATAAATGTAGCATTGCTAATACAATATTTGGTTCATGTTTTTCTTTTCCGCATAACTAATACATGTATAAGTTATGAGAGAATCTATGTATTATTTATGCAGGGTAGAAGGTGGAATAACTTATACATGTATTAGTAATATTTGTATTAAAACACAAAATGACAAGAATA